AATTTTCACGCACGGCAAATGAAAGATGGCTTTTTACTGAAACAAAACCCGTTTCAAATTTGAAAATCGGTCCACAGGAACCTGTAGCTTTTTGAGTTTGAAAACTTCTTGTTGGAGTTGCATTTGAAAATGGCGCGTCTTCGATGGAAGAGCTATTGTCTTAAGCACACGTCTGTATAACAATGGCTGTCAAAACTAAACAATACCCATTCAAGAAAACCACTTGACTGTAACTGAAATATTCATTACCGCGAATTTCAAAAGTATGCTGTCGGCGCAGCTGATTCATTCGAAAACCTGTTGCTCAATGAACATGGAAAGCGAAATCGTAAGTGATCGGGAGCTCTTTTCAGAGCTCTTCGAAACCCCGATCCATCCCCTGCTGATCAACATAGTACCTCCGTTCGTCAATGAAAGCAATGGCATATTTCAATTTCAACTGAATGGCGAAGCTCTTTGGAGATGGAGAGAAGTTTGTGGACAGCCGAACACAGTGTTTGCGCTTCTGCAATTAAGTATTCTGCCTCTTGGCTATCGATTGACAGAATCTGCTGGAGAGCGCGTAGGAAAAGCGTTGGCCGAAAGCATCAGGCGGTTTTGGAGAAAGACGCAACACGTCAAAAGCACGACGAAACGGAAAGAGATGCGAGCGGAGACGTGGATTAAGCTGGGAGTGAAACCGGAGGAGATCGCGGAATCACCAAAAGACGTCTTGGCTCACCTCATAGAAGAGAATAGCAACCTTCGCGAGACTGTGGAGGAAAAGGCGGCCGATCTCTACAATAAGATGCGGCAAAGACTAGCCCACTCTGGAAATGACTACACAGAAGTGGGAAAGAAGCAGCAATACAGGCAATTGACACAAATACAGTGAGTAAACTTTAATCAAGTGCTTTAACTATCGTAAACAACTATTGTAAACAATACCTAGGGAAAGCCTTCACACAAATTATGACAAGACCTAAGAACATAGCTACCTACGGTTGTATACATAGGATCATATTGCCCTTTGTTATTTCTTTGCAGAAGGAAAGCCAAAGATGCACTCTGGTTCGGAGAAACATATGGGTTAATGCCCGAGTCCTTGAAGCTCCGGGATAAAACCGGACAGACTCATGACATCAATTTAAAGGGTATTCCAACAGGTAACTAAACTTCAAACACCAATATACTGTAATAGAGTACTTCACGAGAGCAAAAGATAACTGTCCTCTTTTCACTTTCTTGGCAGATGGTCCTGAGAAAGAAAACCTGCCCATTAGTGGAGCCGTTCCTGACATACGTGTACAAAACGAAGACCATTCAAAGCAAGGAGATAGTTCCAAAGGTAGGGAGACCTTTCTAACAAAAATTATCTTTAAACAGGGTGCCTTCTGAGTCACAAAAGTGGTTTTCAGAACAGCCCTGCTTTGTGCGTTTAATAATAATAATAATAATATTTATAATAAGAATAATAATAAGAATAATAATAACAATAATAATAATAATAATAATAATAATAATAATAATAATGTCTTGTCTCTATGAACACGAAGAATAACAAAACATAAACACTTCCAAGTCTTCAGCACAAAAAAATACACTTATGTTGGGTTAGGTACTTGATGGTTAAACGTTGTTTCAAGAAATAATGTCATCAAAATTGTTATTTCCCTTTAGAGAAGAAAATGCATGCATATGAGAAGTTGCCCGAAACTGAAAAGGAGAAAATCAGGGGAATACTTTTTATAATGGACAAGTTTTCCATTTCATGGGAGGCTTACCATGAGCTGACTCAGCAGGACCAGACACTGCCTAGATCCTACTTGGTACAGGGATGTCAAGGCACCATAGACTCTAGTTGGAACATAAGAAAAGCACCAGGGGACCAACCAGGAGCTGAGTTACCACTTGAGGACCTACTGAAGCAACAAATTGAAAAACATGTAAGTAAAACAAGTTACACAATTTAATTAAGCTTATGGTTGCACAGTGTGTTAGCTTATGGGAGCCACAGCAAATAAACTATAAGTTGAACAAGTCCAAAAGAAATCATTTCACACTCTGTTACATTTTGCTCTAGCTGAAGAAGACCAACCAACCAGAAGACCAAAGCCCAACAGTGAAAGTGAAAATATCTGGTGATGGTGCAAGAATGTCTCATTCCAGCAATTTATTTGTGTGCTCCTTTTCTATCTTGGATGAAGGTCAAAATGTACTCTCTAGTGCAGGTAAATACACGCATACATACATACATACACATGCATTTAAAGTGTAAAATTTGATTTTCGTAAAACAGTGCTCAATACATAAATGTAGAGCGGAGTATGTAGTTTACTTGTTTTTTTCCTCCCACAATATACATGCATTTATTTATGAATAGCAGAACAGCCTTTTTCAAAATTGAGATCCCTAATTGATAAAACTACAGTGTACTCACAAGTTATCTGTTTTTGTTTCTATACATCTCATGACTAATTGCCAATGTTGTTCGATTCTAATGAACATGTTGAAAAAGTCTGAAGTTAAACATTTCAACCAACTTAGGTCAAGTATTTCTACTCCCCCCTTACATGTATTGTGCTTTTTACAGGCAACCACACTATTGCTGTACTGAAAACCTCTGAAGACTATAAAAACCTGAGAAATGGATTGGCAAATGTGACATCAACTGTCAATAAGCTAATCGACGATGGATTTGTTGTAATGAATGGAAAGAAAGTAAAACTGCAGTTCTTCTTGGGGGGTGATTACAAAGTAAGTACAATGTCTATGACTTGATGATTACATAAAAAAACTGCAAAGTTTCCAGGACTGTGTACTGTGTACTGTGTACTGGATGACATTGAGCTTGGTGGTTTATTGCATTATTATTATCATTCCAACAGTTTCTACTTCTTTCAATGGGAATGAAGGGGGCCATCTCCAACAATTCATGCATCTGGTGCTTGATCCATAAAAAAGACAGGTACTATTCAGAACTATCTTGTTTCTTGATAATTAACTGATTGCATACCCTTTTTTAATATTTGAGGTTTCAACATGTTTTGTAAAATTCTGATCTTCCTTAAGTTTCTGTTCTGTTGGTCTTCAACTTTAGATGCAACATGGATGTTCCATTCTCTTATTACCAGTCATCGAACATGAAAAGGACGCTGGGTCCAGATTGGTATAAGCAACCTGGATGCCAGCATCAGCCATTATTCAAGATACCCCTCGACAACATCATTATTGATGAGCTTCACCTTATGCTACGTGTGATGGATCGACTGGAAACAGGCCTAATCCTCGAAGTTTTAGATTGGGATGAGGTAGAATCAATATTTATTCTCTTAACAAATTTTTCTTTGAAAAAGGTTTATGTATGTTATATTTTGATTGCCCTACCATAATTAACTGACATATGAACTGACAGTTACTAACACCATAGCACATGTATCAACAGTTTCATCATACTAATGAATTACCTCTTACCAAATCAGGCTGAAAACAAAGATAAAGCCCCATCAGCAAGAAAGCCCATCCACTTAGATGCACTTTTAACCACAGTGCGCTCACTAGGAATTACCCTCAATGTATGGAGACCGAAGGAATCAGCAAGGAAAGTGGAATGGACATCTCTGCTGGGTGGAGAGAAGCGGTTACTCCTGAGAAAACTTCCCTGCAACTTTTCAAAATTGCTACCACCAGAAAGGGCACCAGTTGTTCAAAAACTGTGGACAGTGAGTAAAAATGTCATTTCTAATGCAAAGCATGTTTAAGGAAGAAAACTTTTGCTCTGGGCTTTGTTGGTTGATATATTAGTCCTGATCTTACTTGGGAATCTTCTTT